GGGTTGGATAGAGTGTGGGACTGCTGTCCAGCAGTATAAGTGTCTTTGATCTGGAATAACTTGGCTTCAGTATGTGAGAATCAGCTCTAAGATGCTATGGAACCAAGGGAAAAGGAAGACAGATCTAGGGTTCTACAGAACGCAATTTATTGGAGGACTTACTAAGAATAGCCTGCTCTGAGGCCTCAACAAGGCAGCTCAGAGCCCTTTAGTGTGGGTCAGAGGGAGGACACACATCATGATCAGGTCAAAAATGACTTAGCCCTAGCTGGAATGCTTAATACCTGGTTTAGCTTAAGCTTGTATCAGGGTCAAACACATTCCTGGCTCCAGGTTCCAGTTGTAAAGTCCCACATACCACTCTAATTGTTTTGGCTACTTATGGTCTGCTGGGAAACCAAGCAGAAAACTGACTAGTGTTACTCTGGGGCAGTCATGGCAGTTGCAACTGGAGACGGCTAGAGTCAGATCAGGATGAATCCAAATAGCACAGTGCCATTGAATTGTTCACTTGTAAAAAGACTTTTAAACAGTAAGTTTTAGTTTCTTGTATTTTATCACAGTAAAGTTGAAACTTCCTACAAAAGATTTAGAGGGAGGGCACGTGACTACAGGGATCTAGCTCTACCTCTGACTTTTCATGTCTGCAGATTTTTGTAGCTCTCACTGTCCTTCCTTTTAAACTACACAATAAAGAAACTAAGGCATGGTGGATGGCACCCTCCAAAAATCAGGGTACCGTGACTGATCAGAGCAAAGGTTCTACCATCCAGGGGCTCCCCATCAGAAGCTCAACTCTGTTCTTCCATGTCTGCACGCTACGCCAGTAAAAGACGAAGGTGTGAAGGCCCAGCATGCTCTTGGGTCTTTCTTGGCTCACCAGAGCATCCTGGAGCATTCTCATCTATGACCCTTGTAGGCACGTGAGCTTTCTGGCCCTGGCTGTCAGTATCATTTCCTTTTATTTTTTTATGCTTACCTTTCTTCTCTTTCTTTGTTTTTCTCTCATATAGTACCCTGACTGCAGGCTCTCCTCCTTCCCTCCATCCGCCTTTCTCCTCCCACCCCTGCCACCTCCTCTCTCCCTCAGATCCACTGTTTATCCGTTGTTTTCCTTCAGGAAAGAACAGGCTTCCCCGGGGTATCAAGCAAACATGGCACAGCAAGCTACAATAACACTAGGTTCAAACCTTCATCTCAAGGCTAGACTCAGCAGAAGCAAAAGGGTTCCATGAGCAGGCACAAGAGTCAGAGACACCCCGACTCCCGCTGTTAGGAGTCTCACAAAACCCCAAACTAAACAAGCACAGCATGTATGCAGAGTGCCTAGTGCAGAGCCATGCAGGCTCCTTGGCTGCCTCTTCAGTCTCTGTGAGCCCCATGATCCCTGATTGGTTAATTCTGTAGCCCGTATGTTCCTGGTGTTCTGAACCCCTCTGGCTTCTACAGTCCTTCCTCTCTCTGTCTCTCCTTTGGGGTTCCCTGAGCTCCATCTAATATTTGGTTGTGGGCCTCTGCATCTGCTCCCATCAGCTGCTGGAGGAAGCATCTCTAATGACAAGTAGACTAGCATCAGTCTGTGAGTGTAGCAGGATATCATTAGGAATCATTTCATTGGCTTCTTTTTGTTCTTTTGGTCTGTCGTGTTTGGTTCTACCCTGGTTTTCTGAGCCATCCATCCAGTCTCCCATTCCTGACCTAAGCAGTGTTAAGCGTGGGCTCTCCTTCCCTGTGGCTTGGGCCATGAGCTAGACCAGTAAGTGGCTGGCCACACCCACCATTGCCCCAAGTGCATCTTTCAGGCAGGACAGGTTGTAGTCAACGATTTTGTGCCTTGGTTGGTGTCCCACTCCTCCCCCTCCCCCTGGAAACCTTGCCTCGTGTAGGTGCCATAGCCTCCTTCACTAGAGGTCCTCCCTGGGGTCAACCTCACAGGTTGCAGGAAGTTTCCACCGCTCTGGGTCTCCACTGCCTAAATGTCTACCTATTCCAGTTGTCTCTTTGTGTACTGTCCCTTCCTCCCCCACTTGATCCTCCCTGTTCCCATCCCCATGCCACGCCCAGTCCACCCATAGATAAGGATAATCCAACTTCAATCCAATCCACAGACCCAGAGAGGCTAAGGAACAAGGAAGGCTGGGGTGGTGAGGAGGCACATGGATCTCCCTGGGAAAAAGGAAGTAGAACCATTTCCTCTTAGAACACATTCTCTTCCTCGCTGCTTCAGAGCTCAGCCCAACTATCACTTCTACTAGCCACACTGCCTCACCTCAGGTTAAGTCTTCACTTTACATGCTAACACCATAGCCTCCCTTGAAGGGTTTTTGTTTGTTTGTTTGTTTGTTTGTTTTTGTTTTGGTTTGTTTTGGTTTTTTTTGTCTGCCTGATTATGCAAGGGGTTTCTTCTGCTTCCCACACTGTATGATCAGCTCTGTGAGAAGGGGAGCTCTCATTGGTTTGTTGAAGCACCGAATCCTCAGTATGTTGAGGCCTCACAAAATACTTGAGTTTTGGCTCATGACCAGGGGTTCCAATCCACAGTCCTTTGGCCACATTGTCCAACGGCCTGTTGGGGCGAATGGTAGAGGAAGCTGCTTGCGTCAGGATTGCCCAGCAAAGAGAAAAAAAGAGAGAAGCTGGAATCCCAACAACCCTTCTCACTTCCTTCCATAGCCCCACCCTACAAAGGTTCTCCCAATATCACCACAGGCTGGGGACAAGCCTTCAACATCGAGGTAGTTCACAGACACTCAAGATCCAAACTATAGCATATCTTAATCATTATTTGCTAATGAATCAGTGAACCAACGAGAAAATAGAAAAAAAAAAAAAAATGACCAGCGAGAGTTGAGTTAAAGGTTTTCTTCAATTTGTAAGCGAATAAAGGCTGCTCATCCGACACTCCACTCTGCTATGTAGGACAGAGTCAAATTACTCAGAAGCAAGTCGTGTAATGCATTTTAGAGCGACAACAAAAGGAAAGCCTCTCAAGGCAGGGGCTCATTTTACCACACCGCTCCCTCTATGCTGAATTTTTATTATTGTCAGAAGCACAATTTGAAGCCAGAGTGACACTTCTTTTAATTTTCTCACACTGGTAGTCATTGATCAGCATTCATAGCTTGAGAGGAAATGCCATTAAATTCAGGAGGGAAGTATATTGAACCTGCATGGCACTCAAATGCTGCTGGGCAGGCTCAGCTACCGGACACTATGCCTGTAACCTTGCTGAGCAGCTCTGTTAAAACTTAAATCTATAATTTTCTACTGGAGATTTCAGGAAAAGCATCCTCTTTCTTTTCCCCCAACATCTTTCAGCAAACCTCATTATCCTTCTTATGACCTCGTAGGCATCTCATTTTCTTTTGGCTTGTTTGCAAGTTTTACACTATTAACTGCATAACACCCCCCTCTGCCCCCCCCCACACATACAGGAAGGTTTGCCTCAGCGTTTCCAATTTGAATAAAGGAATTTTGTGTATTATATAAAAACTAGTCATAATTAAAACCTCTTATCTTTGTTTTATATAGTAATTGTTCCCATGTAGGAGACCAAGGGTAATACACATAGGAGAATATGTATTGATTTTTAATAATGTTGGGAGTAAATTAAAATGAGGTTATACTGTGTCAATCACCGTGGAATTGGGGAATGGTGCTGGTGAGCTCAGGGCACCAGCTTTTAAAAAATGCAGAAAGGAAGGAGGATAAAATCAAAGCAAGGAAGAATGGAAGTCAGCCTTATAAATGATATTTACAAATTATCTAAAAGTCTGTAACACTGAAAACTCTGCAGCTGATTGAGGCCTACGACACAGTGAAACCCTGAATAATCATGACTATAAGAAAATCTACCCTGTGACTTAAAAAAAAAATCATTACTGTGTAGTAAATCCAATTGTATGTGTGTACTTCTGGATAGAAGTCAATATTGCAAGAAATAATACTTCTATACTTTAGGGCACTGAAATATTATATAAAGAAACACAGAAAGTCATTCACCTGTTTTAAGTATTTGGCAAGGTGGGTTTTAATTGTGGGGTGTTATACAAAATTTAATAGCACTTCTCAGAGCCATTAATATATTAATGAGTACCAGGACTTATTTGTAAGAAACTGATATACTATGCAGTGGCCTCCAAACTTATTTGAAGATAGTGTCTTCATTTTCTTGTCTTTATGGTTGTATTTCTGTCTATGGAGAAATAATGGGAACTTGTAAGACTAGTACAGCCTGGAACACAGTATCAAAAAAATAGACTTTCTTTTAAATAAAAAAAAAAAAATTAGGCGGGTCCATAACAGAAAGAATTTAGATATCTCCTTCTCCAATATTTACTAAAAGCTTCACACTGAGAAACAGTATGAGGCCCCATACAAGCAAATTCGCCCCCCCCCCCAGAGCCTCTTCACATCATCAGTGTTTCTCATGGCCAAGGCTGATGAAAGATTGAACAAAACATGGCTCATCCATGTAACACATATTGATCAACCATATAAAGGAATGAACTACTGACACAAGGTGTAATGTAGAGAATCGTGAAGACATTATGCTAAATGAAAGGAGCCAGACACCAAGGATTTGTATTGCACGATCCCAATTATAGCAGGTTCAGAGCAAGCTCCTATCGACAGAAAGTAGATTAGGGTTGCCTGGGGTTGGAAGGAGAATGAGAGATGAATGTTAATGACTGTCCTTTCCACAAGGTGACAATCTGATGTCAGACAGTGACAAAATGGTTTTACAACATCATGAATAGACTATAACTCACTAGATTAAGTGGATACATTTTAGTATTACTATATGAATTTGCTTCAATTAACAAACAACAAAAACAAATTCAGGCTGGGTTGTAGGCCCAGGTTTAGTGTGACTTAGCATGCATGAGACCAGGTTCAGTCTTTAGCACACACACAAAGAAAAATAAATGGAAAAAAATCCCGTACCCACTGTACTGAAAGGTACACTTCTTGTATCAAAGAAACTTACAACACAACTATTTCTTGTCAAGTATATTTAATGAAGATACTGGCTGTTATTTACAGAAGAGATATGTATATACAATTCCTACACATTAGATGTAGTCTAATTGTGAAAAAGGAAAAAAATGTACTCCAAAATTTCATACCAAATAAAATAAATAAAAAAGGAATATTTGGCACAATGTCTATAATGTAGCAAATAAATAACTCTATACCATTGATCACATGACCTATTTACAATCTATCTGAAAGTGCAAAATAACTGCTGAAAATTAAGATTTTTGTAATAACATTTAAGTCCAGAAAATATGTGTTTTTTTTTTAATCAGTATCAATAAATTTGTAGAGGAAAGGTTTTTAATGCCCAGGAAAATATTTCAATTTTGAAAAATTTTTTGTGCATATTGTGCTCTTCTGAAATGTTATTTTCTATCTTAATGCTGGCAATATTAAGAATCTTAGTGTTTCTTAGTTGAATTCTTACATGTGTAATCCTGATTTGTAAATTTTTTAAAGTTACAATGTAAACATATTATTCTATAGATCATTCAGAAATTACAGACCAAATAGCCATAATGTTTCATAGTATTGTGATGAGGTTCTATTCGTTCAGAGGTAAGACTATGAAGATGGAGGAATACAACTAATAATTTGGACTTTTATGGTTTCCTCCACACCCACCCCAGTCCCCATGCCCCAAATCATGGTGCTAAATAAAGGAAAAAAAACATCCAATTATGTCATCACCAATGTATCTAAGTCAAACCCATGGCACAGTCTCATCCTGCAAACAGCCTGGAAAGGGATGTCAGGGGCATGATGAAGCCCTCACCAATGTTATTTCTTCATGTGAGCCGGATGATGGCATGGCTGGAAATGAAGGAGGTGGCTATAACAGATGATTCCTAAGCTACAGCATGTCAGCATTATACAAGTCAAATCATTTCCTTTCTTGTGGTATGGTTGAATAACTGGATGTGGTCCCGAGGGGGTGGGGGTTGTTTCAGGATGTGTCTCTGCTCATTCTGGAGAATCTCTAGTGGCGACACAGTCAGTAGTAACATACTTGGCATTTTTTTTTTTTTTTTTTTTGTGAAAGATTGTGGAGTGGAGACAAAACATCACTCTATGGCCTGCGAGGCTCTAATCTGTGTGACATCTGTGATAAAGTTCTCTGGTTGTCAATCACATTTAATTGCCGTACATAACTCCGGACATCCTGATGGTTCTTATTAGCTTGAGCGGCATCGGGATCTGTTAAAGGAATAGCAGGCAGAGTTGGCAGTGCGCAATATCTGCATGGAAGATGCTGCTTTATTTTCCCCACTGACTTATCACACTTATCGCAGATTCCCTGGGCTCCGCCAAGACCTTTCCACACACCACATTCACTGAAATATTTCTACTTGGTTGGTCCATCTGCTGCCTTCTACACTCCGATTTTCTTTTCTTCCCTGGCATCATCTCTTTTGATCATTTTCCTTTGCATTGCACACAGGAAAAAAAAAAAAAAAAGAAAAAGAAAAAGAAAAAGGGCACCAAATAAAAAGGGAAGCATCTGTCTGATGGCCCTGGTGACAGATGAAAATTGTTTTCCCTTCCCAGCCCACCTCTGTGTCACACTCTTTCTCCACCTCCTTTGATCCAGATGAGGACTAGTGTCAAAGATATAGTTTCATTAGCAACTCACAAAAGCTCTTAACACCTGGACTGAACCGAAGTGAGCCAGTGGGCATCAGGCCCCATAGGCCCCCTTTGCTTACATGCACGTACAGCACCTCTTCAACGGTATGCCCGCCCCAGGTGGAGTCTGGATTAGGCAAAGCCACCTTCTGGTTAATTGATGACGTCTAGTAAATTTTTCTTCTCTGACACGACTTGCTCTGAAAGTCCGCTGACCGTTCTATTTTGATCTACTGATGTGAGCACCTGGGCTGTCAAAAACGTAAATGGATTTTATTCAAACCAGGAGCCCAAGAAAATCTGTCAGCAGATTGAGATACACAGTGTATATAAGAAAGAGGAAGGCCAGGGTCAGCAGCAGAGTGGAAAACTGGAAACACGGTGCCTTGGGAAGTGGCCACGTAGCTCCTGAATGCCGTCAGAGTGTAGGAATCTGTGTCCAGACTAGCCGATGCTCCCTTTGTTTCTATGTTTGTTCCTTCCTCCCTATCCATTCCCTTGAAACAAGGACTCTGAATTTCTCCCCTGTACTTTTCCCAGATTTGAAATGGAGACCCCTTCATACGAAGAAGGAGAGGCTGTGTATGCATAGCCCAACCCTCTGCTACACAGCCCATGGGCCATAGACTGTCCTCTCGTGTACACAGGAGGGCCAAGCTGGACTCTGGACTGAGTTCCCTCCTCCCACCCCCAGCGCTGCCTTCTGAAGTCCGGTTGCTCCTCTTAGATCCACCCACTACTCCTCCAGACAATCAGAACACCATCTGCATCCAGGGCTGAAGGGCACTGAGGCAGGTCTCAGCACAGAAGGCAGAGACAAGCTACAAAGGCCCCTGCTCGCCCTAAGAAGAAACTCATCAGTGTAATTATCACATATAAATAATACACAGTGAACCGCAGGACACATTGTGCTTAATTTCCCCCGCTTCCCACTGGCAGTGTACTCTGCATGTACAATATACTGTAATTACATTGTATACATCCCCACAATGTTTATGAATCTATTCCTATAGCTTTATCTATAGATGGTTGACTTCAAAGCCGAGCAGCTGTTGTTTACCAGCAGTTGCTGATAAGTTCAACAAATGCACTGGAAATAAAAAAAAAAAAAAGGAAGAAAAGAAAAAAATCCCCTCACTTCTCTCAAAGCTGTGGGAGGACGGAGACTTTTGCTGCTGAAGAGGCTGGTGAAACAAAGCTGATTCTACTATGGCTCCTGTTTGGTTCTGGAGCAACAGCCCCCTGTGTCCCCAAGAACCATCTCCAAGATTCTGAACCTTCTCCAGCATGCGTGACTTTGCATGTAATTTCGAGAATGTTTTGGAACCCTCTAAAGGGATGTGGGTTCTGTATTGTAAAGCCCATTATGACTGGTACTGTTTCTCCTCATTTTCCGCCGATCTGTGGCCATGTCTTTTATACACATAGTAAATTACTATGGGAAGGGACATAAGACACTTGAATTCTGGCAGAATCCATGTAGGAAGGGTTGGTAACATGCAAGACTGCTCTCATTTTTAGAAATGAGAGGGCACCGTTGTTTGAATTAATTTTTCAAAAGCTCCCTAAGCCAAGATTATTTTCTATAATTGTTTTTTTTTCCTCCTGAACATTAAAAAAAAAAAAAAAAGAGTGAGTAGTTCTGGCATTCTATGTTAGCAAGCTCTGGCTCAGGGCCAGATCAACACTACAAAGGGTGTACCACTGTGATTATTAAAACAAGAACCTGTCAGTCTCTTAAGACAGGATCTACTGGAGAGGATGGTGAGGTAGGCTGCTGTCACATCTGTGTCATCTCATCGAGTTGAGTTAATATGCCAATTCTCTCACGTGACTCACATAATGACATTAGCACAAAACTTCAAAGGGTTCACTGTTCTCTCCCAAACCAGACCAGAGGAGCAAAGCTCTAGTCCTTATCCCGAATCCTAGGCCAGGAAAGACAGCAGCACCGGTGTAACGTGGCCAGCCGGTATGGCAAGGAAACTGAACAGTTTAAAATGATCATTTGTTAGTAATATTTTATACCTATGAAAACACAGCACTGGTGTCTATGACACACGTTCAACAGTTAAAAGAGTACCTGGGAGTCCTAGAAATGTTATGGAGAATCCTGCCAGGGGACTTCTTGCAAATGTGTTATAAACACTAATGCATTTTTGAGAGACAATAAATGTTACCTTTCTTGGTTTATAAAAGACATCACTGACTCACCAAGGGCTGCTGTTTCTCGGCATTGAGCAGTGAGTCATATCAAGGGTAGCACACACCTTTAATCCCAGTACTTGGGAGGAAGAGGCAGGTAGATCTCTGCGAGTCTGAGGCCAGCCTGGTCTACAGAGTGAGTTCCAGGACAGCCAAGGCTATACAGAGAAACCCTGCCTCAGAAAACTAAAAAAAAAAAAAAAAAAAAAAAAAAAAAGCGGCATGGAAGCTTTCTTGGGCCTTTGCAACCTACCTGTTCTAGCTACACTGGGTGAGCAAATGAATTTCCTTCAAATTCACTCATTAAAAAATATTCTGACATGTTTTTTCTTGTGTTATAGCAATGCAAATATATCTTAGTCTTATTAACAACAAAACAAAGTTCTTAAACCCAAGGCACATGTGTGCTTCATGGTCCAAACTCCATCTGACACAGTCAAATGCTGTCCAGACTCCTAGAGGGGCTTGAAAGTCTCATTTAAAAAGACTTAATCACACCATGTCCACGAGAGCACGCAGTAACTCAGAACTTACTGAAGGGCTGGCTCCTGCAATACCGTACTGTTCTGGCAGTATTTGCAATCATGCGCTGTAAGGAATAAGAAAAGAAAAGGGAAATGCAAGTCATTTTAGTGTATCATCCCCAAAGGGGGAAACCATTATTTATTCCACCAACACTTGGTATCACAGCAAACAGCATGTTCTGGCATGCTGACATCTGAAGGCAGCTGGGTGATGCGGAACTTGCACAATGACGTTAACGAGGCATCCTAGTACAAAGCATTTGCAGGCAACACATATTCATGACTTTATGACATAGCTCTCTGTCTCACTGTGTGTAAAAATGTATCTGACACTGTACTTTGATGCCGAGAGACCCGTTTGCACCACCGTCCTTTGAAATTGTCTGGGATCTGAAGATGGTTAGCTTTCAAGTTTCTCCCAGGTATCAGGCAGTGAGTGAGGTGGTAGATAACTCTGTCCAAACAAAATCTGAATATTCCCCTAATAATTGTTGCCCCTTACTATGCTTTCCTGACCTTTTTTAGTCCCAGAAAAAGTATCTGTTTCAATCCAAATTCTGTTTTCCTTCCTTCTTTGCTTTTACCTCCTTATTTATAACACTGCCATAGTAACATTTTAGGAAATCAAAATGGTAGGAACAGAGTAAAAACCATGTAGATTGTAACCCAAGGGGTAAACTCATTACTGTTTTGGTGCGTTGCCTTCTGATTTTATAAATATATATATATATATATCAGGCATACATCTGATAATAATAAATAATAAAATAAACCACATGTATACTTATGTTCATATGTATATACATGTTTTATTTTGTTTGTTTTTGATTTTTTTGTGTAGCCCTAGCTGTCCTGGGACTCTCTTTGTAGACCAGGCTGGCCTCGAACTCAGAGATGTGCCTGCTTGTGCCTCCTGAGTGGTGGGATTAAAGGCGTGTGCCACCACTAGCTAGCCTTCTGATATTTAAAAATGAACATGCGAATGTATTTAAAAAGTGATCATACTCTGCATGTATATTTTGGTTTTGGTTTGCACTTTCACATTGCACTGTGATTATTTTCCTTACCATTTGCGTTTTACAAAGTCTCTAAGAAGTTTATGTAACTCAGTTGGTCTTTGTTCATTTTGTCAGTCAGTAAGTGATCTTACTAATTGCTTTAAAGTTTCAGTTGCCATAAAAATTCAAAAGGGCATTTTTGTGTATGTTGCAAGTAGACACAAAAGAATCAGAAAGGGCTGGGGAATGTGGCTTAGTGGAAAGTGCTTGCTGAGCATATGAGAAACCCTAGACTCAAGCTCCACTATGGAAAGCAGAAGAAAAGGACAGACTTCAGTACCATGAAGGCTAGGCACGGAGACCTCAGACTCCCAAGGAAAAACACTGGTGAAGCCTAGGCACAGCTCTTTGGCCAGGATGTCCGGGTTTTGTTTATGGTACTTCAGCAGTAGCTTGGCTTTGAAGTCCCTGAATGTGTTTCTGGACTTTGTTTCTGCGATTCTAAAAGGGAACTGTGGAGACAGTGGATGCATAGTTCTATCAGCAGGTTCTGTCCAGGGAAAATGACTCCCCGATTTCTAAGTAGCTATGTAAATCCAGTCCCCACTTTCATCTCTTATAGGCCCTTGGTTTACAAAAGTGTAAAAAAGTGACTTTGAGGAGATGACAGGAGAGTCAAAGCCTTCGAAATGTATATACACGAGCACCACAACGTACGCTTCCAGCTCTCTCCCATTTGCAGGGTGCCAGCAAGCCGAGGTGGCATGTGTCTGTGTAGGATGCTTTCTCACACACGAAGTGGCCATCAGAAAAGTTGTTCAAACTTTACTTTCATAAAGGGTCCTAAAAGCCAGTAGGACTGTGGATCAGCATGAAAAATAAACTACAAATACCTCCAAGGAAACGTAGCATACAATGTATAATTAGCCTCTGATATATGGAGCCCCAGAATAAACAGTAACTATGATAATTTCCCTGCTAATTTACTTTAAGCTGTTTTTTCACTCCTCTAAAGGCTTTGCATCGGAAGGGCACAAGTATATTCCATGTGGAATTATTGTAATTCTTCAGATATTGAATGGAATGTAATTACCGAAACCCCCATGAAATTCTGCCAGTATGCCCCTCTGAAGAATAATAAAACAATTAGCAGGGGTCAGAAACCTCTTCCTATACCATTTTGTAGGGAGTAATTGTTCTGCTTTTTAGTTTTGAAAGATAAAACATTCCATTCTGACTTTAGTTTTAGACTACTCTTTATAGCTATCCTCTGAGGCTTCATAATTTTTAGCTCATTATGTAGTTTAAAATGTGAGAACAATTGTTCAAATCCGTAATTTCTAGCCCCGAAGTTCATTTTACCTTTCCAAATCTTTGATTAATTTTAACAATGGTTTTAATTTTGACGTATCCTTTTAATTGTATTGCCAAGATAACTTCAGCTTAACTTCAAAATCCAAATTGGGCTTTGTAAGGAGGTCCATTCTTTCCCTATGTGAGGTCCACACAATAATGTTTAATGGTGTGAACTCAGGGATGGTGAGTGAAGGCACTAGCATTGCTGGCCAGTGTGCAAGTGTTGCTTATAGAATTTTTTTTTTTTTCAGGAGGCCAAAAGAAAGGGATTAGCGTGATATCTTAGCTCCAACCTCTTTTGTGCCCATTGACATGTGCAATATTTGATGTGCTACTGAGACTCCAGGAATCACCCCCCAAACCAACTCCAGGATGCAGAATGCCTTCTGTAGCCATGGCTCTCAGCGTTTGAGTGTACCTAGCAGTGGGAATGCATCACCTCTAAAGTCAACCTTCTCACTTACAAACATTTCTGACCTAGAATTTTGTTGCTGGCTGGAGTCAAAAGTATTTCTCCCTTTCCCTCTCCCTCATTAAGCTCTGGAACTTAGCAAATAGGTTGGTCCCTCAAGCATGCAGAACTCCTTCCCTAGGTCTTCCTTACTCAATCTAAACACCACGATTTATTTGTTTATTTGGTTTATTTATTATTTGTTTTTGTTCTGTTTTTCAAAGACATGGCGTTTCTCTGTGTAACAACTCTGGTTATTATGGAACTCATTCTGTAGACAAAACTGGGCTTAAACTTGCTGAGTCCCCACCTGCCTCTGCCTCCCAAAAGTGTGCACCACCATGCCTAGCTATTAGCAGTTTCTTAGGGGACAGTTTTGTCTCTCTTAGCCAGTATCTACTGTGGCATCTTAGAGCACAGAAAATTACTTCTTTCCTCCTTTCCTTGATCAGGCTGAGTTGTACATCTATGTCATAATTTGAATGAGATTATATAGCTGACATCTGTTGGATTCAGAGAATTAAACCTCACCACTCGGTTCACTGGGCTGTGGCCTGGATTCAGCTCTCTTCTCTATCAATGTACAGGTAATTTTAAGGGTCGAGGAGGAGGATTTTACATTCATCTTCACTAAAACATATCTAGTTAGTCTTTCTGTCTTTTGTGTTCCAAAGACCTCACCCCATGTGTCATCTTTGGTGGCAGACAAGATTATTCATGGTTGCACTCAGCTGAGGCTGGCCGAAACTAAAGCTAAAGAGACATGGGTTTCATTATCCAACTGCCATAATGGGGAGGGAGTAAAAAAATTACACCCTAGATTTGGAGGTCTTGCCAGAGCAGGTTGGCCTGCCTAGAGCTGGCCAGGCAACTCTCTGTGTTGCCAGGCCAGGGGGAAAAGCTTGATTACTCCAGAGCAGAACACCAAACATCTTTTCCCATCCTGACAAAGCCAAGGATTATGACTCCTATTAACAACTGGCTCATTGTCAAAGTGATTGGTAATTTGGGGTGATTGTGAGAACACCTCCCTCAGAAGATTGTCCAAGTTGGGTGGGTGGACAAGCTGGAACCTCATCAGAACCCCTGACATGATTCTAGAGTTTTGGTGCAGGCCTTTGGGCTCGTTTGAATACCCTGTGCCTTGTTCGAATAGTGCCCAACTTGCTGGACCGAGAGATAGATCCAACTGAGGCAGAGAAATTCTCCCCAGGATGAGCATTTACAGAACATTTACAAAAGAAAACAGTAGTGGCGCACAAAAGACTTTGTAGCCACACCCAGATATTTATTTCTTTTTATAACTGAAGGCAAGGACTCAGAAGCAGATGTCCTTCCTGGGGCCTAAGACAACAACATGACCACCAGTTGTGCCCGTGTATCACCTCTGGGATCCCTTGAGCTCAAAGGTAGATATTTATCTTCGGATCTAGTGCAGTGTGAGGTGCCTTGATCATGGCCTCAGCCTCACCCATTTACCTGTAGGTCAGCCTTTATGGAGCAGGCCTGCCCAACCAGGTTTTCTCACTCAAATTTCCATACACAAGTGAACCTGAAGCTATCTGCCAGGCCTCTCTGCTTTCCAGTCTTGTAGTTTGTTCCTACTGACTCTTGGTCCTGGCCAGGCTCCCCACTCCTTGTGTTTCTGAGGAGGTGCAGGCTTATGTGTCTAGTGTTCATCAAGTTCAGACTAGCAGGCCTCTAGACAAGGCCACCTGACACTGTTAACAGGCTCAGACACCACCAGTACAAGCTTCCCTGGCCTTAGGCCATTTGGCTTCTCAGCTGGGAGCTCCCTAAGGAGTGGCTCCTGGGAATCAGGCCCCTTCTAGCAAGTCTCCTGAAGCAGTTTTTGCCTCTCCTTCTGTTGACCACTAAGATCTTGATCCTTCTTATTCTTTTTATTTTGATTTTCAAATAAGATCTCATGATAGTCCAGGCTGGCCTTGAACTCATGGCCCTCCAGTGCCAGGATTACAGACATGTACCACATTCATCACCACTGCTGCTCTTGTTTGCCAGGATCCTCTTTCTCCTCTGACATTTCTACTCTGATGCTTTGACCCTGTCTCTGTCTCTGCGCTTATCTGGTATAATCTATCAATCCTTCCATGCTTAGCATGTACAGGTCACATAATTTATACATAATAGTTTTATTCAGACTGCTACATCTTCAGGACACAATTTTTCCCCATTATAAAGTACAGAAATACATAGTCTCTCTTCTCCAAAGATCATGTCCATGGTAGCAAACACTGGTTATGCACAATAAGGCCTAACTTCCTAGAACTCAATCAGCCTTTGCTGTATGCATTCCTGGAGAAGCCTGAGCTTTGTCCCCAGCAATGGGTCTTTGTTATCCTAAGGATCTGTGACAAACAGGCATGTCTAACATATATAACATTCATAGTCTATCGCATAGGGAAAGGTCATGGGACATCACAGATGGATATCTGCATACCCTGAAGGAGACTGGAAGGACAATGAAGGACAGAGTACCATAGGATGGGGAAGGGACATTCAGGAACAGAAAGCTAAGGGAAAGAAATCCTGAGTCAAATCTCAGCTTTGTAGAATGAATAACATGGACACCTTCATTACTTCAATTTCTAACAAGTATAAAATGCTTTTTGATATCATGTTTGTCATAAAATACTTTCCAAATGTCCTTCCTTATCAAGTCCAGCACTGGACTATCACTGGGTCATTCTTCCATCTAATGAATATTTCTTGCATATGTAGACTATACCAAACACACTTATGGATGTTCATGAAAGATCAGTGGACAAAACAGACAAGATCCCTGGTCCACAGCCTTTGCCTTCCAGTGTGGAGGACAGATGAAGAAAAGCAAAGATGACTATCTCGGATTTGGATAGTAAAAGCAACTCTCAAGGCTGGGCCATCAGTCAGAGCACTTGATGTGAGTGAGCAATGGTGCGTGGGGAGTCAAGGGCGCCCACCCAGAGAAAAAGCATGGGTTCAAAGGAGCCACACACATGGGAACTGGGGAAAGAAAACTCTCAGGCAGAGGTGACAGCTAGAACAAAGGACCTGAGGCTGGGAGAGAAACAAAGGACACTTGTGCCAACTTGGGTTGTGTTCAGAGCTGAAGTCTGAGATGACACTTGATGGCTGGATCTTATGTGATTGTATGTAATGTGGTTTTCCCTGTTGCTGACATGGTCACAGAACTTCTCACCCAGTAGCTTCTTCGGTAGGGGCCATGTCTTTGATTGCTCTCCTGGCCCCTGTTTTAATAACTTGTGTTGTCTTTGGTAATTTTTAATATACCAGGTGTTTTTATCTTATCTTTGCAATAGCATATATCCTAAAGGACAGGGACTACTTTGTATGTTTATTTATTTATTTAAATTTCCTAGTGAAATCCTTTGCCTGGGCACCCTCAGACCTTCTGTTGCTGTGAAGTACGCTCTTTGGAAAATCTGCATTTGTCTTGGCCTGTGAAGTCTATGGAAAGTCCCCAAGCTATCCCTATAGATAGATTTCCTTTGAATTGAAAAGGTCTTAGGGGCCCGGCAAATTTGAACACTTAGATTTTTACCTGATTTTCAGCCCCGGGAAAAAAAACGCGCCCCCCCAACCACATTTAATGCACTTAGATTTTTACCTAAAGATTATTTTTTCATAGCTCCAGGTAACAAAACCAGCTCTCCCCAACCACATTTTAGAACATTGCTGCTGTTAGAAGCTACACTGTTGCTAATTATAAAATGGCATACCTAGAAATGCCAAACTGAAGGGATTCGAAATATTTCTCTCCCTTAATAAGCTTCTGTTCATGTTTCCAGAAGTCTAGAAGTTTTCCCCATGCTTCTCATTCCAGAAAAAAAAATGACTACTTCAAAATCTTATTCTTAGATAAATATACCTAAATATGGTTATGTCTGAAATAGAACCAACTTCCCAGCACAGCAGCAACTGTACCTATCAGCGTGCCTTCTGCAGCCTGGGGTAGTGGCAGCAGGCCAGCATGTTAGCCTCTAACCCATAGCTGGTCTACCTTCTGAGTGTTATAAATATTCACACATGCCATAGAAAGCTATAAAGGGCTTTATTCAAACATTTTCTGAATACACCTTTATGATTCCCCCAAAAGAATGCCTGATTTTTGATTTTTTTTTTTTTTTTTTTTTTTTTTTTTGCACAAGGATCAGGTGTGAGTTCTTTTTTGTTCATACTCACAGATCCTGAAAAGCAGTAAGCAACAAATTCTCTAATCCTCAAATCCTCATTTCATACATACAGCAAGGATGAAGATGCTCAAAACAAACAGACAAAAAGCTTAGTGTTGGCATGTTGCCTTGTTGTACCCTTGTGAGGCCGGCACCATAGAAAGGCATTGGTGTCCCTGGCTGCCCCAGCGACTTCTGCCTCTGTCTGGGGTTCCCACTGAGGACAGAGGCCAGGGCGGCCCACTCTGCTCACACCTGGTCCTTGTTGATGGATGACTGACAGGAATCAAGAAAAGAAGATGCAACCTTCTCCAAGACACATAAGGGACTGGGGGTAATGGTGACGGTGGTGGTACCAAGGGTGAGGTGGTTGATGAGAGAAAATGTTGGAAAGCTAGCTAGCACTGATTGATCAATGTTGTCTGATAATGCCACATTTATCAGTCAGGGTTAGAAAGCCAATCAAGTGTTTTTGAAATTTTATTTTATTTTCTAGTAACAAGTAGCTTGCAGAAGGGCATTTCTGAAATCAAACTGTCTGGTAATATGATCTGTCAAATAAAATAAAACTTAGAAAATTGCCCATACAGAGGACTAAAGGCATTTTCCAAAACTCCCTCCCTCTCTTTCACAGCAACAGATGAGTAATTTTTAATGGGGCACACTGAAACCCCAGATGAGCTACGTTTTCTAGCCTTCCTTTCATGTGATGAAATTTCTAAGTGGTGAGTACAGTTTCTTCCCTCTCCTTAAGGGGAAGAAGCACACCTTCCTGCAGCCCTTTCCCCTACTTCACAGCTGGGATGTGATGGCATGTCGTCATGGACCACGTGAAATTCAAAGAGTGCTGAAGCCAGGAACCTTTACTATCCCTCAGTTCGGGGCTGTCATGCTCACTCAAGACTTGGAAGTGGACAGAAATAAACTTAAATTATCATAATGACTTTCAGCCCATCATTAGTTTAGGCTTGCGTATTGTGGCTGCAGTGCTAGCTTAACTAATCAGCGGCTGTTGAACAGAAGTGGCCACCCAGAGAGAACAGTTAGGACCTCGTGCTTACTGCCTAGCAGGGAGGAGTTCAATGCAGTCTGTAGACCTGAGGTGCAGACATGAGAAGCCTACTTTTGGGTCATCTTGCCTTTCCCTCTGTAGGCTACAGGACACTAGAAACTCAGAGACAACTGTCAGCCTCCCCAGTGGAAGGCTGGCTCAGTGTGAGCTGCTGTCCTTGCTTTCTCTGGACCACGTAGGTCACGTTGGCAGTCAGAAGTTCTAGGACTCTTCAGGGAATGCTGGTTTCACATCTCTGCCCGCCTGTATTGTATAGCCCAGTGGTTGGCTTAGCTGCTTCTTGGTCTTAGAATGTTCTGCATGCGTGATTTGGAAGGCACTTTTCCTATTTGCTCAATCATCCACTTCGGAAAAACAAGCATTTGTCTTTCTCAAAAGCACTGGGGAATGTTTAGTGCTCTATGCTAACAAGTAAGCAAAGAATCACTGTTTGTTCCTGGGTGCCATGTCTTTGAGGGGTATGTGCTTACAGTCTGTTCCCTCGGAAGCTTAAGACTTAAACTGTACTTCCTAGCCATATGCTGGGATGAACAGGGCTGAGCCTTAGCCCACAGACAGTGGGGTGTTTCAAATTCTTCTGCAGACATACACACTAGTTTGATTTCAAGAAACAATTAGCATTACAGGTTTCTGACAAGAACATGGGAAGACCCACATGCCATGCACCATCCATCAGCCTAGAGGTAGCTAAAGCACGCATGAGCCCCATTTCCTGCTGGGGGAAACAGACTCACACAGAAGATGAAGATGAGGAACAAAAGGACGGAATTGAATATTGGCCCAAATGTCTCCCGAGTTCCAAACCCAGGGCCACATCCACACTGCAGAACAATCTTGGGCAAATGCTTACCCCTTGGGGAAATGAAGCTCTATTACTCTGTCTCCCCAGGCTGCATTCAGCCCCGAGGATCCGGAGAGAGTGTGGCATTCCAGTGACATGGATGGTGTGCTAAAGAAAGACTCTGACAGGGCCTGCCTTATTGCTGCACAGAAGATAAGAGCACAAACTGCAAAGTACTTTTGCCAGACTCTTCTCTGGATGGGGGTGGGGTGGAGGGGAAGGGGTTGGAAACCCCTGAACAGGAAAGTGCCAGTTTCACGTTTGTTAAGTTCATTGGCGTTGTCAGTGTTATGGAGATCTCTGAGTCTCCAAGTCCCCTCTCTGAACCTGAGTGGACTTTATGAGACTAAGCAATGCACACTTAGATTAATACCCTGCAATAAAGACCGGCTGTAGCATTGCCTTTTACCTACATGAACTCTAGTCAGCCTTGGCAGATAAACATTTCAAAGGCATCCTGGGGCAGTCTAGCTGCACAAACCTTACAAAACAACAAGAAACCCAGAAGTCACTCTTGAACATTCATGCATTTTAACAACAGGCAGCAGAGGGACAGAAACACGGGGGCATAAAAGCTAGCTGCTGCTGTGAGCCAAGGCACAAATACCATTCAACTCCACAAAAGAGAACTGACAGCAAAAGAGGGAGCCAATTTGAACCAAATGTTTCAAAACTCCATTCTGTATAACTACCTTTGTAACATGGCAGCACACACAGACGTTATTTGCCTTATTAGTACAAATGCAAATTTCATTAAAAAAAAAACATTGTGGTTAAGGTTATAATACCGCACCTACCATTTTTTCAAAGTTTACTAGGTTGTCAATGAACGTCTTGTTCCCCTCATGAGTAAATGTCATATCTGTAAAGAAATAAAAGCCACATTCTAGTCACTAACCGAAATATGTCATACTAAGAAAGTACAATAGCACCATTAGCATATGCGGATGGATTTGCATAACACTGCCGTTGAAGAAAGCTGATAATAGTTTCTTTTATGTTAGGTGTTTAACTTTCTAAATCACTTTACCTGAGGTTAGTAAAATCTCTAACATAAACCCTTTTCACTCACAAGGCTTCAAAATCACAGGCTTTTCATACCACCACCTTCCCACATTCCCTCCTTCCCACCCTTTCAGGACACTGGGGCCTATGAGCAGGGATCAAAGGAGGTGGGAAGAGTCTTTTGGCCAGACATCCCTCTCAAAGGGTGTCATCTTCACCCCCAAGTGCTCCCTCCCTCCCGCCTGGCCTGGGTGTGTCATCAGATTACCTTTAATAAGCAAGGGCATGAAAGGGATGAGGGGGGGATCCAGTTTAGCTGCTGTCAGCCTGTAGGCCCTGTGATTTCTGGAAGGATCCTTGGGAGAAACAAAGTGTTGCTGGTCAATGATGAGAGATACATACACCCCGCCCCCCTTTTAACCTCTGAGCACACATAGCCTTGCCATCTCACAATCAGGTATTTGGGGTAAGATGCAGTTATGGAAGAAAGGCAGATTTAAACAGGTTTGATTGGTTTGAAAACAACACCACATATGGGTGAGACAGTGCTGTGCATTTGTTTTCCATTCGGTTTGAAGGAGCGAGCCTACAGGAGCCCGGGGGAGGCATCCCTCTGAATGCAAAAAAGAACTGTGTAGAACAAACATCCACAGATTCCCTACCTTCTTCAGAAGGTTGACTGGCTCCCCATCCCATTCCCTACCTTGCATAGCCAGTTCTAACTTGTACTCTGAACCATTCCCTGCCTCCCAGCAAGACCCATTCATCCCTTTCCTGTCTGGTAACACCTCCCAGACAACGGGGAGACATAATTTTGGCAAGCCAAAAGATGTAGCTTCCAACCCATTGCCAAACTGTGCTGTGTTAGGTAGGAACCCTATTATACTGCTTTTCTAAGTTACACAAATTGACCTTATGTGGGACATAAGTCCTCTTTAAGTTAGCTCCTGAGGGTGCCATTCATTAGTCAGGCATGCTTGTTTTAGCAGCACTAAAAGGGATCATAAACTTCTTAAAGTCAAACAAGGACAGATAAAATTTCTGCAATGAGAACTTGAGCTAATCAGAAATTGGATTAATGTGGACAGTGAACAGAATAAAGAAGCCACTGTCACTTACCATTAAGCTTTCAAACTCTGCATAGAACTTCTTAAACTTGCTTGGCAGTTTCTGTTAATAAAATGAAAATGACACACACAGCTGTCAGATTCTATATCTGGATGTAGATTGTGTGTACTACCGTTTCTAAGGGAAATCCATTTCTTCTGGCCCCTAGTCAAACACCTCTGAGACAGAATGAACTACCGTGTGCCCCATCACTTGAGAATAATCTCTGGAATATAGAGAATTTGCCTTTGAAAAGTCTTACTGCAGCTGAACTCCACGCTGAGAATGCTTTGGCCTTACTGCTTTTATAATATATTCTTGGCTGGATGGTTTATAATCATGATTGCCTTCATCCCTGACAGTATAAATGGCCTGGGCCCTCCAAATCCTTGTTTCTATTAATTCATTGATTTCTCCAATTAGACGTTTAGACTGGAGAATGTTAGGATTAAAAAGAAAGCCAAACGAGAAAAGGCCTTCTTAGAGTTGTTGTTGTGTGTGTGTGTGTGTGTGTGTGTGTGTGTGTGTGTGTGTGTGTGTGTTTTAAACTTGTATTTCCTTGGTGCCCAACAGTACTGAGGTTCAGAGGAACTGTTTCCTTTGAATAGCTGAAGCCTGTGTATTACAGACAGGAGGAGTTAGTCTCACCACCCGAGTGTCCCTGAGCCACAGCTGGTCATCCCTCGCTCCACTCCTTTGGTTCACAGTCCCTGCATGCCTTTCTGTGACTTCCCTTCTATGCTCTGAGCCTCCCTTCTAAGCAAGCCCTTCTGCACTGTTTCTCTGCCTGGCTGTAACGGAAAGTGTGAGAGTCCTAGCAGCATGCTGGCTTCTCGTGGCTACACGAGACAGCACCACTCGGTGCATCTGCTGAGAGATGCCAGGAGATCAGTGCCGGATCCCTTTTCAATTTACCGCTTCCCATTTTGCTGAGTGTTGCTTTTGTAAAGCTGAGCTTTCTACTGACAAACCCAGATGGAACAGAGCGATGTGTTTCCCCATCCAGAGATTGGGAAAACATCAGCAGTACGGAGGCCTGGAGAGTCCCAGCAGCCCTGCTCTGCTCAGTGAGGCCTACCTTCTACTCTCCACCAACCACACTCTGAAGTCCCCAGAAAACTCCTGCCTGTTCCCTGGTGTGACTCAAACTGCCATATTCCCATTTAATCACCTCTAAAACTCTTATTTCTGGAAGCCAGTGCCTTGCACATCCTCCACATCCCCTAGTACCCATTTTCAAGGATGTGGGAAATTATCTCTTAGAAGACAGATTCAAGGCTGAAAGCTGTGCCAGGCATTAGGGGTCTGAGGATGTCATGGAGTATCACCGCACTGGGTAGAAAATATAGTCCATTTTAAAAACTAGACCTTTTTGGTTCTGGGCATGGCGACACACACCTTTAATCCAAGCACTCTGGCAGCAGAGACTGGTGGATCTCTGTGAATGCCAGGTCAGCCTGGTCTCCATAGTGTGTTCAAGCCTAAGCAGGGCTACATACCCAGGACTACATATTGAACAGACCTGTGTGGATTAGAACATTTGTATCAATGTCCATCGATAAAGTCTGCTTTTAATCACACCTCTGTCGGCCTAGCTCTCTTAGCCAGACAAAGGAAATAGGCCTTTCTGTGGCTCTTAGGACTGTTCTCTATCTACACACTGAGGTGGTCCTCCACTACAGGGACTTGTCCTCCCAATGTGTCAATAGGTCAAGGCTAGCGCCCTCCCCTAGTGGACTCCCCTAGATGGGAGTTGCTCCCTGCTTCCAGCCCTTCTTACCATAAGCTTTTTAATTTTTCCCTTTGCTCACTGTTTCACAGTTGTCCTACGGTCCCCTGAGATCATGCCCCATTCCTTACACTGCTCGTGTGGTCACTCTGGTGCTCACCGGAGCTGTGTGAGAAGCCCTTGGGAGGTCTTCATCAAGCACAGAAATAATCCTAATCAAAGATGCTCATGAGTGAAAAGTTCTCCTTACACAATTACATAATCACACCAACTCAAAAAAAAAAAGAAATGAAGGTTATAAATCAGAGGAGGCTAATCTTTTCTGTCAGAGACACACAATGACTAAAATGGAAGTTCATAGACTCATGGCACTCTTACACTGGCCAATTAGCCCTCTGCTTTTTTTTTTTTTTTTTTTTTCCTGACAAACTGACCAATTAGCAGGCTGGACCCTCCCTTGGGGCCTCTGTGGCAGCCCAAAGGGCCCAGGCAGTGCTGTCTCACTATCTGGTTGCTGCCCCTTGGGAACCTACTGCCGGCCTGGCCTGGCCTCCGTGGGCCCTCAAAAAACTGTAGAACATTCCTTTCTTCTAACCAAGGCATTTGGACTCTGTGTTGGGGGAGGGGATCAGGAGCCAGAAGCAGACTGTGTCGGACTGCAGACTACCTGAGTCTGGGTCTCTAGAGATCTCAGGAAGCCTGGGCAGTGAGACTTGCCTATAATCGGCACCCCAACCCTGTTCTCCCGCCGGCTGGAAGATGATACAGCCACATGGCTTGCAGGCCTCACTGCTTCCCTCATGCCTATATTCAGGGGATGAACTGTTGCATACATCTGCCTGGAATTTTAAGGGAAACCCAAGACAGAGAACTTGTGAGGACCTGCCTTATAAACAACGGCGATATTTAGGAGAGATGGGGTCAGAAAATACTTTCAAGAGGGAAATGGGTGGGGCACCAACTCCAAAGGGAATGTGGACACAAACAGTTGCTATCGAACACCCACCGTGGCAAAGCGGGTTGGGTCTGTCCGATACTCCTTGCAGCCCCTCTTAGACACGCTTATGTGTATTTACCAAGAGTCTATTTTTGTGAGTATGTTCTATTGGAGTTTAGTATTTCTTTCACTATGTCACATGTCAGGGGGCGAGCACATTCTGAGTACCAAGCTAATGACAAGTGAAGGTGTTTTTGACTTGTCAATGAATCACCATCCTGTTTGTTACAGAAATTCATAGCGCACCTTCATGACTTTAGCTCCAAAGACAATCCATGCCAACTGTTGCTCCTCTCTGGAGGGAGGAGTCACCAGGTGGTTATGAGACAGCCAGTCCTCAGCTGCTCCTGACAGTTGGCCTCTGGGCTGTTTCTCCCAGAGGCCAAATGCCTACTTGGATGAAATGGCTTTTCTGCTCTCTTTCAGTCATCGGCAAGGCTAGGTGCAAAAGCAAGTAAGCAGACTATTCAGAGACAACTGAACCTGTGTGCAAAGAGACTTCTGCAGCCGTCTGAGCAGTGCTGTTCCTTTCTGTCATACGTAAGACCCACATTTAAGATTATTTACATCGCAGAGACGGAAAAGCTAAGGCTCCACTCCCCTCCCCCGACTACCCCCGCCTGGACAGTATCTTTTTAAACTCTCACTCTGTGGTAACTGGAAAAAGGTCATCTCCCTCCAAGGGTCCCACCTTTCCCATTCTTCCACCACAGTGAGCGCTGTTTCTACAGAAAAGCTCACTGGAGGGCCTCTGGTTTTATTCCCAAGACAAAAGTCACAGCTGGATCCCAGCTGTAGCATACCTCCCATGTCAGTGCCAAGCGGCTCACAGCGACGTTACTGAGTCCCATGACGATGGCAAAAAAGGAATTTAGATTTTTGTACTCCTTGCAGCTGAAACACAAGAGGTACATGTTTAAGTAGAATGCCACTTGTGAGCAAGATTTAAAACAAAATAAAAAAGAATAGAGTTCTATTTTCTGATAGGCATCAGCATTCATCGGGGCTCGTTTATACAAACTGGCAATGACAGATTTAGGGCACTGCAGAAATTCTGCTGGGGCAGCCATGCTCTGCTGTTTGCCGCCTCACTACAGTTCTAGAAAGTTGATGGTTTTGCCCATTGAGGTTTGGGTTTTGAGAAGTATTTTAAATTCACCTCCCTAGAGGGTTGTTATTATAATCCTAAATTTGCTAAAAAGCTGTAGTGAATTTGCAAACAGGGAGAGGGGAGACATCCCATGGGATTGGAAAAGGGAAGACAAAATGTTGGAGACTTTGAAAGCTGGAGATGGATGCTCTGAGCTGGCAGGTGAAAAAGTTGAGGATGTCACCATGCTGCAGCCACCCTGGCTCCTGCATGCTACACCAATGACACTAAATTACTGAAAAGTATCAGCTCCCAAGGCATGGTCCTGTGGGGCTGGGCACTGGTTCTCCAAGAGTTTGAAGTTGGGAGGTAATTTATTGCATCAATAGCAAAATAACCTTATTTTCCGTTTAGCTGACATTAGGGAGGTTGGTAATTTTGATAATTTTGAGTTTGTGTTTATGCCATTAGGAGTATTTATGGATCTACATTTGGGAATGAAGCACTTGGACCAAGACTAGAAATTCTTATTAAAATGGTGATATTATCCCAGGTGCTTGGTATACCTGGTTGTGAACAACAAAAACCACACCTGGCCTCTCAAAAGGGAAAAACACAAACCCTTCACCACGCATCAACATGGTCACCTAAGCTGACCGGCTTCATAAATGTTTGAATAAACATCTCTGTAGAAGGTTCATTACGTGGTTGCTCTGGCTACTCCTACTCAACTCAAAAACTAGCAATGAACACTTCTCCACGTGTCTGTGGAGATAGAAAAATGCAATTTAGAGGAGCTATAGTAGGTTAGATCACGCAAGAGGAAACTATCAAAGACATTATAATGCTGGGGTAGTGGCTCCCAGGTTCAGGGCTAATGCCACCACCACATACATATACTTGCCCTTTTCTTGTGCAAGTGACTGGGAGAATCACCCAGAGCTCAGACCTGCTCTGTTAGCAACTTTGCTTGTCATTCAAAGCAAGTCAGGAGATGACTGCATGCCTCAGTTTCTTCTCGTGTGAACAAAGGATAAAAATGCCTAGCCCAGCCCTGCCCCTCAACTCTGCTAGGTTCCTCCTGTCAGGGCCAAGAGCTTAAAGATAATGAATGCTGCAGCTCTCTAAAGCCAGCAGGCCAAACGGCTATTGCCCACAGCTTTTGGTTTCATTCTTGTAGACTCCACCTTAGCAGGTCTACATAGTCTTTAACAGCCAGGCTGAGTAAACAGGCTCATTATGAGACAGTGGCCCCAGAATAGGGCTGAATAATGGCCAAATAATCAGACAAGGCCAAGTCCACCTAAACAATGAACAGGAGTCAGAAGGAAGAGGGATAAGTTACAAAGGCCGACACATTAAAAGAAAAATATCCCTGAGTGTTTTGAGAGGCCCATCCGTGTTGCCTCCATAAAACCACAGGCGGGCCTCTCTTCCCTTGGGGCTGCACTTGGCATGAGCAGGCTAAGGTGAAGAGGGAACATGCCCCCTGCGATGGGAAAGCACACCCTGTCATAGTTTCCATAATCCACTCACTGCAAACACATGAAGGCATTTGCTCACCACACAGGGGCTGCTCGTGCTGCTTGGGAAAGAGGCCACACTCGACTAAACCTTCCTTCAGACAGCCAGCTTTTCCAAAGAAACAGCAAGCAGCACGTGAATTCAAAGGACCTGGTATTCTATTGTGCCCTCAGCATTTTTGGCAAAACAGCTCAAGGCATCTGGCAAGCCGGCCCCTATAAAACACCAAGTAGCTTTTCCTTCTTTGTTTAGCTCTGGCACTGAGGCTCCATGTGGGATCCGAACTGTTTGGCTCAAGAAAACTGCCTGGCCTGAGCCGCTTGTTCTCCCAACCTTCCTGAGCTCGGGCTCTGCGTTCAGAAAGGGGAAGGAGTCTCACAGCCACGGGCTACATTTAGCTTTTTTATTTTTAGTACTGTGGTGATACCAAAAACATGGAAGTAAACAGGAGGTTGTCAGGCGTATCTAAACAGCCAGAGAAGATTAAATTCAAGTCAGGGAGAAACCTAGCTGGCCCCTGCAGTAAATAAATTGTTTCTCAAGAAGTGCTTTAAAATAGAATATTTATAAGATGTTTTCTTTCTATGATGTGTATGGAGATGATTTCCTAGTACCAGGTTAGCTGGCCTTTATGCATTTTACTGATTTTATTCCGGCTAAGTTGGATAAACTGCCATTCCAGCGTGTTCTACTGCCCTCTACTGGTGAGAATGTGTCATGTGGGACAAGGGCTCCAAGAGCCTTACAACAGAAGTTTCTGCAAAGGGAATGTTTGTTTACTTAATGCACTCTTCCAACACAAGGAAGGAAAAAAACAAAACAAACAACAACAACAAAAAAAGATCAATTGTGAGGCATTCATACCAAAACTGATCCCGCTTTTGACTAGAGCACCTCCTGTACCACAAGATATTAGTTTATATGTTGATGTTAACCGTTAGCAAGCCAGAATACAGTCCTCTCCCCACGGACTCAGTGCTGGCAGTTCTCATACCCTGCTTCTCATTTTTAAGGCACATGCCATGAGAGCACAGCTCAGAGACTATTTTTTCCTCTGCAAAGTTAAATATACTTACTGAGCCGCTATCTTGATAAACTTTTTCAAAAGCTGAACACGCTTGCTGAGCTGGGAACAAAGGCAGATCTCGGTGACAACCCAAAACTGAATTTCATTAAATCTCCTCAGGAACAAATCCAAGTTTGCCGTGGTCTTTTTAAAATTATGCCTTCCAAATGTGTGGTAGATTAGCTCCAGCTAGAACAGAGAGGGAAACAATTTCACTTATTTGTTGGCTTTTAAATCAAAACACCAGCCTGGCTCCTCTATTTGTCAAGAAAGCATTCTCTCGAGGAGCAGATGTGAATCCAACCACTAACCCGGATGTGACTTGTCATATAGATTTGAAGGGCCTTCATGAGGCTTGTGGAATATATAAATATAAACTAGGTGTTATTGGCTTAATAGACTCTGGAAGACATAGCATAGCATCACAGGGATTTTTTTTCTTTAATACTTGAGGACTTTGTACGCTCAGCATGCACAAAAGCCATCATGTGGTTTCCACATGGCAGGAACACAGAAATGCAAGCTGAGTGAAGCAAGCAGGCTCCCTCCGGAATCTTATGGAACCCATGGATGTCCCTTGCTAGGCACCTCACCTCGTGCACACAGTTGAAGAGTTCCCAGTCATATGTAGTCATCTGGTATGCCAAGTCTTTCGAGCTCATCAGTTCAAAAGTTCCCACTGTCCCAGTGGTTGGGCCTTCTTGCTCTGGCAAGGGAGTCTGGGAATAATTGTGGAAAACTGGATCAGAACCACAAAAGGGATATGTGTGAAATGTCAAATGCTCTGGGGAGTTTTTGATGGGAAAAGATTTGGGGAAAACTTTCAGGCATATTTTGAAATGCTGGTCTTGAGGTTAAAAAATGGCTTTGCTGTTTGCTATACTTGCTTCAAGTCCATCTTTGCGGTTACCATCATTACATCATCATCATCATCACCATCACCATCATCATCACCATTGCCATCATCACCATCATCATCACCACCACCACCATTATAATCAATAAGGCTTGCCAGAGGATGACCTGGGAAGGTTCTCTGTTGTGTGATATTTTGATCTCATTCTGACAATAAAGTTTGCTTTGAATCAGAGAGTGGAACTAGATACTAGTTGACCAAAACCATACACATTTTGGAGGACTGAGGACAGATAGAGAGTCAGGAAGCAGTAGGGTGGAGCTTAAGAGGGTCTCTGCCTTTTGGATGGAGGAGTGAAAGAGATAAGAGGCCACTGGTCGCTTCTCTGCCACTTCTCTGATCATTCAAGTTCTTACAGGTTTTTACCCCAATATCTGACTCCTGAGTTTTTATTGGTAAAGAATAATTACATAACATTTCAGTTCTCCTTTGCCTGGGGCTTGCAGGCACCTGGAAACTCTTCCCTTTCCATAGTGAAGATGGAAGGTGCTCTTGGAGACCTTCCCCTCATGTTCTCATGGAAACTGTTACAAAGCCAAGTACTAGCATGGGAGTTTGAATTTCTATCCACGGTACCACTTTACTGCTGGTGATTGAAATCAAGTTGCCCCAGCCATGCCTTCACACACCACCTAAAATGGTGACGTGGTGGAGAATGCTGTAAACTGAGTCTACACAGGGTTTCCAAGTGCCTGAACCCCTGGGACTTATTGGGCTGAGAATGCTATTCATATGTTTGGGGCAAGCTCAAACTCTGCTACTTTGGCCAAAACTCTTGCTAAAAGTTTTTATTTGATTCACTTATCTCTTTTTGTATTCACAGAAATGGTCTATAAAGTGTTTTTACTTCCTAAGACAAATGATAAACGTATAATACCTTAATACTTATCTGTAAGGCTGGGAATATATAGTGATGAAAAGAATATTTGCCAATATGATGCTAACTGTATTTGGACATTCAATAGTCATGTCACAGGGCCAGGGATGAGCTCTGGATGAGCACTTTCCTTGCATGTTCAAGGCTCTGTGCTCCAACCTCAGCATTAATAAGGAAAAGGGCTCACGTTAGAAACACTAATATTATAGAGGCCACATCAGCATCTCCGTTACCTCTGTATTCAGTAACTGCCCCTTGTGTTCTAGACACCAGAGAAATGACATGCTCAGAGTGTAGGTGGTTCCTGCATTGGAAAGTTCCATCTGTGAGATGAGCAGTTCACAGTGTAATAGCGTCATCCTCCACCAACAGGTGCAGTGCTACTTATGGGCGCAGTCACTCCCTGGACTTCCTTTGCACGTCTGGAGACAGAGCATCAACAGACTAGACTATGAGGTGCACAGACAGGCAGTGGAGGCGTCCTGAAGGGACCTTTTCAAAGATGCTGCATACTTGGGATCCGTGTGTGTGGAGGAGGAAAAGAGCCCACGAGCAGGCAAGTGAGGAAAAGCTTGGCTCAGGATGGCCCGTGTTCCGCTGATAGCACGGGTGGCTTGAAAGTGGCGAGGCTGCCAGGAGACTTGATTTGCAGGAACAGATTACAGAGAAGGACCAAATAACATCTTTTAAAGAGTATCTGAGCACCAGCTCAGGAGACGGGGTTTGTTACAGGCAAAGTAATAGACCATGTTAGTGATGGCCTTGGAAAAGAGCAGACTGAACATAAAACCCCACTGTAGCAACACACGTTTGAAATGATCCCTTAATCTTTCTGCCGTCTGTCTCCAGCTCCAGGAAATTGGGGTTACACTACCTAAGTTGGCAACTTAGGGTATTAATACCCAGGTTTGTTAAGAGGATTAAATGGGAGCAATTTAAGTGTAGCATGTAAACCAGTCCTTGGCACAGGGAGGTCCCTTCTCTCAAAGTAGGTCACTTTCCAGAGGGGTTACAGTGCTGCAAAGGCAGGAAAGTGTGGTTAGTGCAGCAGTCGGGCTGAGGGCTGGATATGGATCCACGCTGCAGAGTGTAGAGAACAAGGCAGAAAGTGATGATTCCAAACAGACCTGGTGCTGTAGGCAAGGAGCTTATGGAACCAGGTGAGAACTGTTTCAGTCCAGGGCAGGTTTCAATGCAACAATAGGTGAAGCTTTTAAATTCCAGATCTTAGGACTGCATCTCAGGCCAGCCTGGCTCTCTGCGGTCTCTCTTCACTGCAGCTGTGAGCACAGCCCCTCTGCTCCACTCTATGACTGCTCCCCCTTCTATTCACTGGGTCTACTTTCTCCTTGAGGCTGGAGTGACTCCATCCCCCCACATCTCTAGTGCTTTCCTTGAGGTTTTATGGTGTCTGATATAAATGACTACTTAACCCAACAACTCTTGTGGATTCTAACGCTAAGAAAGGTGGGAAGCTTTTTTTGGTAGTGGGTGTTGGGCTGCCATCCCTACATCACTCCAGGACATAAAACAAAGTCCTGTAGACTCTCGATCTTCATTTTGGGTGGGAGTACCAGGCCCACCTCATGCTTCTCCCATGAGCAGCAGGGATGCGTCTCTCTGAAGTGGGGTTTGTATGATGAGCTTGTAGCCCATAGCAAATACTTCCTTGTGCCATTTTCTTATGGTGAGGCACTGCAGAGCTTATGCAGGATCTGCACAGCACAGGGGGCTGAGAACTGACGACCCCCTATCTCTGGACCCCTATAGTTCTCTCCTCAACCTTCCTGAGAGATGATATTTTTACTAATGCTGGTGGAAGGCAGTTGGGAAACTAGCATCACCATGGTCCTATGTCCGGAGAGTTAGTGCATAAAAGGGGGTGCGAATTGTCAGTGACAAATTGATGGCTAAGCAACCTGCAGCTAATATCCCTCTCTGCTTGTGCTACAGGACCCCATCCCCCCCACAGTGGAACCTGTCGTAGTGGGTTTTCTATGACGACACAGTAGTCAATACAAAGCTCCTTGAGGAACATGGATTATGAAGGGTTTGTCGTTGAGACTATTCCACAGCCAGAAACATTCACAGAACATGGAACAATGTGACAGATACTAAATAAAAGTCTAGGGAACCAGGGAGTGGATAAAAGGACAGCCAAATTACAGTACACTGAAACTTTGTGGTAATTGGCTTTGTACTAACATTTATACTCAAATACAATTTCAAGAGAGTAAAGCTCCCGATTCAGGCCCTTCCCCAGTGGGATCTATGCTGGCAGGCTACTAGTTGTAGACAACACAATTTAACACTACAGTTCATTTTTTTTTCTGGACCACTTGGGTTGCTCTCATCCTAATTTAAATGTCACTGGCATAAGGACAGAGGCTCCAGAGTACTTGTCGTGTTGGTCACAGAAGCAAGCACAGAGTACTTGTCATGTTGGTCACGCTCAGCGGACACTTAGTAAGTGTGTGCTGATAGATCCAAGGGTTCAGTTGACACTATGCACTGCAGTCATCCTCTGGACTACTCCTTCTAGAGAGATATCTACAAGTCCGAGAAGGGGCTTCAGGTAAGGTCCGACCTCCATAAGCACAGAGAGGTCCATGGCACCCCCAGCTGAGAAGTTCGTGTCCAGGGTTCTTGTTGCCAAGTAAATTCCTTCCAACCACTCAGGCCTTAAAATGGAAGATAATCAAGAACCCAGAACTTGGAAGGTCGAAGGGCTGTGTGCAATAAACAGAAGCTTAAAAAGTTAGTGTCTGCCCCCAGGGAGCTGGAGATAGTCCACATGCCTATCTCTCCACCACCCTGGCTCAACACAGCAGCCAAGAACCAGCTGGCAAGACAGGCCCCAGCACATTGTGGGGCAAACACATCACCCAGCACCTTCAATGGAACATCAGCAACACGGGCTGTTTAAGGCATTAGTTTCCAGGAGAGGGTAGCTGGACACACAGCAGTTTTTAAAAAATTATGTGTGTGTGCAAGGTTGTGGGGGCAGAGGAAGGCCAAACATTTCATGGCACCAGTGGAGGTAAGAGGACAACTTTGTGACATCACTTTTCTCCTTTTGTCTTTGTGTGATTTCCTAGTTATTTATTTCCTAATTGTTCAATGTCGAGAGATGTTTACTCAGAGAGGAATGAAGGCACGTGATGGAAGAACCTAAGAAGACACAAAAGGGTCTGTGACCCTGTGTGGGTACTCCCGTGTGTGGGTGTTCCCGTGTGTGGATGTTCCTGTGTGTGGATGCTCCCTTGTGTGGATGCTCCCATGTGTGGATGCTCCCATGTGTGGATGCTCCCGTGTGTGGATGCTCCCGTGTGTGGATGTTCCCGTGTGTGGATGCTCCCGTGTGTGGGTGCTCCCGTGTGTGGATGTTCCCGTGTGTGGATGCTCCCGTGTGTGGATGTTCCCATGTGTGGATGTTCCCGTGTGTGGATGCTCCCGTGTGTGGATGTTCCCGTGTGTGGATGCTCCCGTGTGTGGATGCTCCCGTGTGTGGATGCTCCCGTGTGTGGATGTCCTGTGTGTGAATACTCCCATGTGTGGATGCTCCCATGTATGGATACTCCATGTGTGGATGCTCCCGTGTGTGGATGTTCCCGTGTGTGGATGTCCTGTGTGTGGATGCTCCCGTGTGTGGATGTTCCCGTGTGTGGATGTTCCCATGTGTGGGTGTTCCCGTGTGTGGATGCTCCTGTGTGTGGATGTTCCCGTGTGTGGGTGTCCCATGCGTGGATGCTCCCGTGTGTGGATGTTCCCGTGTGTGGATGCTCCCGTGTGTGGGTGTTCCCGTGTGTGGATGCTCCCGTGTGTGGATGCTCCCGTGTGTGGGTGTTCCCGTGTGTGGATGCTCCCATGTGTGGATGCTCCCGTGTGTGGGTACTCCCGTGTGTGGATGTTCCCGTGTGTGGATGCTCCCGTGTGTGGGTGTTCCCGTGTGTGGATGCTCCCATGTGTGGATGCTCCCGTGTGTGGGTACTCCCGTGTGTGGATGTCCTGTGTGTGGATGCTCCCATGTGTGGGTGTTCCCGTGTGTGGATGCTCCCGTGTGTGGATGCTCCCGTGTGTGGATGTTCCCGTGTGTGGATGCTCCCGTGTGTGGATGCTCCCGTGTGTGGATGCTCCTGTGTGTGGATGTTCCCGTGTGTGGGTGTCCCATGCGTGGATGCTCCCGTGTGTGGATGTTCCCGTGTGTGGATGCTCCCGTGTGTGGGTGTTCCCGTGTGTGGATGCTCCCGTGTGTGGATGCTCCCGTGTGTGGGTACTCCCGTGTGTGGATGCTCCTGTGTATGGATGCTCCTGTGTGTGGATGCTCCCGTGTGTGGATGCTCCCGTGTGTGGATGCTCCCGTGTGTGGATGCTCCCGTGTGTGGATGTCCCGTGTGTTGGTACTCCAGTGTGTTAATACTCCCGTGCTGGAAGCCAGGATGAGGGCTCCATTAGGGACTCAAAGGCACTGAGTCACATTCATTCTTCCTTAACTGACAGCAAGATGGTGTCCAATGAGCTGTCCCATTGAGTCTGGTGGCACACACCTATAATCCTAGAACACGGGAGACTAAGTGATGGGGATTAAAACCTAGCAGAGGGCCACTCCTTTAATTCTAGCACTTGGGAGGCAGAGTCAGGTTGATCTCTGAGCTCAAGGCCAGCCTGGTTTATAGAGCTACAGATCCAGTTCCAGGACAGAGAACTACACAGAGAAACCCTGTCTCAAAAGACAGACAAACAACCCAACCCCAAGAAAAACCCTAGGGGTCAGTATGGGCTACATAGCAAGACTATATCTAAAAAACAATGATTGAATGAAACCCATGGCCTTCCCGGAAGCAGGGACCAGGGTCCTGATCAGGGAGCTCCATCAAGATCTGAAAACACTTCCTGTGCAGGGCTGGGAGGAAGCCCAGGCCTCACATGCTGTCAAAGACTCTGACTGCACACTTTAACCTGAGTCCCTCCTGAAGTTCTAGCAAGGTCTATCTACTAAGAAATGAAAGCTCTCCAATTTTCCAGCAGGTTACCTCTCATTCACATATTGTATTTTAAAAAGAAGAGGAGGAGGAGGGGGAGGAGAAGGGGGAGGAGGAGGAGAGGGAAGAGGAGGGGGAGGAGGAGGGAAAGGAGGAGAAGGAGGAGGAGGAGAGGGAGGAGGATGGGGAGGAGGGGGAGAAGGAAGAGGAGGAACTAGGGAAGCCCATGGCCCAGACACAGAGGAAACTGCCTTTGTGAAACTAAAACTGGTCCTGTAGCTCCTAAGATTGTTTACTAGCTAGTCAATTCCACACTGAATTTTTACAGGAGAGACAGAAATGAATGTGCCTTTTCTTCATAGAAGTTCTAGGTGGCTGGGGACAAGTGTTCTGACCTCTGGTATCCATCCCTGTGAAGGTCCTGAGAGTATGTGAGGGAGGAGCCCTTCTAGACCTGATGGTGGCCTGCCTCCTGCCCTCCCTCAGGAGTCTGCTAAGACTGGGTTTTCCCTTACAAGTTATCATCACCCTTCGCATCTGAGCATTCCGATTTCGAACATTAATACTGGATTTAAAGACATTTCAACAACCAAGGTTCTGAACACTAAACCATGTCCCCAAGGCCGTGGCCTGGCTAATTTCCATGGATCATCTAAAGCTTGGGGCATCTCCAGTGTGCACCTGAGGCTTTCCCGGCAGACCACAGTGTAGAACAAGCCACGTAGCTGTTAAGAAATTTTAGCCACCAGCCTCAGTGTGGCTGTGAAATTAAGCTGCAGACAAGGTTTTCTGATTGCACACACTGCTCCACGGAGGCCATTCACACCTACCAGTGAGTCGAATTGCTCTCGCGGGCAGGCAAACAGGCGTCCATTAATGGTGAGCGTCGTAAATACTGAAACATCATTAGGTTTGAGCACCACCTTTTCTGTGAACATAAAAAGCATGAGATTGCCTATTAAATCCATCTGAGATTTGCTGCGCTGCCCTAATCACACCAACAAATTGCCAGCTCGGTGAATTACCGGAACACGAAATGCGCCTGCATAAAATGCAGGGGTGAAGGGAGCCACTGAATAAAAAGAAGGTGCTTTCATATAGCTGCATGGTGCCCGGGATGCCATCAGAAATGACCACACAACAGGACTGGAAGCATCCAAGGATCAATTCAGCCAGATCAACTCTGCAACTCTAATTATTCATAAAACCCGCACAGCAAGTTAGGTTTCTTTGTGGTAACAATGCCTGGTCTTTTGGAGACAGAAAGACTATGGCTAGAAACTCTGGGAGGTGCTTCAGAGTTCTCACATGATTTTATGCCAAACATATCTTCAGTTGTTGCTTTTTTCTTTTTTCTTTTTTTACTTGCGTCCATTTGGAAGGTAATAATAGTAACTACTTTAAGCCCTTTTCTATATTTAATGAATTAGTTTACTGAATATATGTACTACATAACAGACACTAGGGACACATAAAGAAATGATAGAAAGGGATAAAATATAAATGATACAGAGAAATAAAACATAAATTAAAAATCCCAGTCAACAAAGAAGGATAATGAATGAGAGTGAGCGTGGGCCGTGTGTGTGTGTGTGTGTGTGTGTGTGTGTGTGTGTGTGTGTTAGAGAGATGGGATAAGGACCATAAGGCACAGCAGGAAAGGGAGTTAGAAAGTATGTGCCTGGGGAGCAGTTAAGATTCTAGATGGGACATCAAGGGGCAGACCTCAATAGCACCATCATTTGGGGGAATGCCCACCGTACAGGACACATAGGAAGAATGTAATTAACTATATGGTATCCTGCATCAGTGGAATCATCCACCTTCACACACGGCAGAAATGCTTCACTCCGTTCATAAAGGACCCCTCAAATAGCTGTGAAGCCTTCACTGGGGAATTGATCTCCTGGCTCCTTCTTACACCCTCTCGCTGCATCGTGGGTAACCACTGCCAAACCCTGTCAGCATGGGGTTCATTTACTTCCTAACCCTCCTGGCCTGGGACTCAAGGACAGAGTGTGTCTAATTCACCCTTTTCTGTCATTGGCACATGCAACTTGTCAGGACATATGGGATGACACAAAATGACATTTCAGGTATAACACGATCAGGGACAAGGAAAGGAATTTTAGTCCCAGCTTGGGGAGTGGAGTACCCTCGTGTTATTAGACCACCGGGCTTGCTGATTCTCCTGGGTAAGGAATAAACTGTCATAAACTGAAAGGAATGAGCCCTCAACGGCTCCAACTTCAGGTTTGCAGACGCCTAGGACCTTAGCCTGCCAAAGTCCATGCACCTTTCTTGGGGATCTTAGGCCCAGAGTTCCCTATGGTTGCCAAGGCAAGAGCCCCAGGGTGATGCATAAGCCAGAGTGTAAGGCACAGCTGCCTTCCATAAATCACTTCGCTTCTTACTCCTTTTTGAGGAATGTATGAAACTGGGGATTCAGGACATCTGAGAAGCCCACCTCTTCTCACAATATTTCTGTTATTCCTGGGAGTTCACCCCTTCTGGGTCTGCCATCCTTCTGGGTCAGCTCTGGACAGCCTTGCTAACCCCTTGCATGGTTTTGATTGGACAGGATGGCTTATTTCACAAAAGCCCAAGATGCTAATCCAGGCTGTTACCTCCTCCAGAGTTCATCTTGACTATGATCAAGCCTTCCCCTGAGCCGAGTTTGTCAGCCACCGCACTGATGACTTCCTTCACTGAGGCAGCTACGGGCACCCGGATGGTGGTATAGGTGTGATCCATGCAATAGACCTTAAACAAAACTTCAGAGACAGTTGCCAATGTAAGAAAATGGTCTGAGGCATTCAGAGGAAAACCTAAGCTATATACAACTCCCCGCTCAGAAGCCCTGCTCCACTGATGACCAGGGGCTGAGAATTAAGGGGGAGGGGGGCGCTGCACCTTGCTCCGGGAATCCTTAAGTTTCCCACAGCCTTCCCAAACCAGTTCTTCACAGAAGTGATAATCTCAACAACCAAGCCCTGAGAGAACCCATATTCTTTTAAGAGATGGTGACAATTGGAGAGAGGCAGTGTCAGTGAGGTGCGGGCCAGCATCTCAGCTCTGTCTGGGTACCAGATTCCAAGAAAATAACTTATCAGGAGACCAAGGGACAGACACATCCAAGAGCCGTTTTCTTTTGTCTTTTGTTTGTTGTTTTGGGGGGAGGGTTTGCTTTTCTTTTGTTTATTGATGGTAGTTTCAAGTTGATGGTTTCCACAGGCAAATTTTAGCCTGACTATAAATATTCCACATAAGACATTGCTCACCCTCATCAGAGCCACGAATCGGCTGGCGCTTCTGGGCCCTCTCGTCACCTGTGTTGAACTGTTGCAAAAGCACCTTGTGCTGTGAAAATAATAACCACAAGTGACGTGAGGGAGAGGAGTGATTAACATCACCTGACAACTTAGAGAAGAGTCCCAGAAGCAGTTAGAGCCACGGCATGAAGCAAATAGATTCTGTGTGTACAAAGGAGACATCACTCCAATATGCTGAGACCCAGGGTTCCTGGATAATCACAATGCTGCCAGCTACAGTATTGGACTCTGAAGATCCCTTACCTTCTTCTGTGGAGCTTTGGCATCTTCTGAGCTACAAGGAGTAGAGAAAGAACACCGTTGAATAAATACCATTACCACTGTTCTTTCAGGTTGATTTATTTGTTCATCACTTTAACCTTGTGTTAGGCAGTAATATCATACAGTCTCTCTGGGCAGCAATGCAAGACTCCCCCATTCTAACAGTAAGAGAACAAAATGCAGCAGAACCACTAGCTCTTATCACGGGCAGATTCTGCGCAGACCTGAGGTTAAATCCCCGGTTCCCGGCTTTCAAAGTCAATCTCCTAACTTACTCACTCTCCAGTACTTAATCTAACAGTTCATTGATATCTTGGAAAACCCCCAAATACACTACAAGGGCAGGAATATTTTCAATTAACAGCATTAGCAGCAGAGAGTGAATTTCCCATATAGCTAACTGTCTCCAAATGCACCCAAAAGCCCACAGACTATTTTACTGCTGGGTTGTCTAAGGAATCCATGAGTCTAGACCTGGGCTTGTCGAAGGACAGGTTCCTTCTTCCGAAGCCTGCTAACACAGAAGGCCACCAGCGCCCTGGGACTCGTGACACAAATCAGAACATGTCATGGCTGGTGCTAGACCAGTGCTAGCCATTTTTGCTGTTTTGCAAGGTGTTCTAATCATGAGGCAGGCACTCACTCATATGGGAAAGTGCACCCCAAAGCAAAGCCCCTCCTTACATTTGTTTGACAATCTTCTCCAGTTCTGGCAGCTGGTCCTTGAAGGCAGCCATCATGCGGGCGTCATCTGACACAGACACATAGAACTCCTGTAATGGCATAGGTCATGGGGTCTTAAGGAGAACTGAATGGAGCTCTCCTCTGGAGAGCAACAGAGACAGGCTCCTATGCTATGCATGAGGCTGGCACCCCAGACTACATTCATGGAGAGCAGAGGGCGGGAGGGGGAGGAGGAAGGGAGAAAGGGAGGTGGAGAAGTAAACATTTACATTGAAAATTGCTAATGAGAAAGGGTCCTGGAAATAGATATGATGATGAAATGACCATCAATGAATTGTTCATTTTAAAATTGCTAAAATAATAAATGTCATGTTGTTTACATCTTACCACCACAAAAACTAAAACAATAAACTGCAAGTGAACTTATAAGGCGTTTGTGTGTTTGTGTGAAAGGGCAGTGTTTTGGAACAGATCATTTAATAATCTATACTTTAAAAGCACTTTTTTCTCTTTTATCCTCAGAGAATTTTAATATGGTTTTTTGTTTGTTTGTTTGTTTTTGGTTTTTGTTTTGTTTTGTTTGGTTTGGTTTTTTGAGACTGGGTTTCTTTGTGTAGCTCTAGCTGTAGACCAGGCTGGCCTTGAACTCACAGAGATCCTTCTGCCTCTGCCTCCAGAGTGCTGGGATTAAAGGCATGTGCCACCACCTACCTATCTTAGTATTTGCTTTTGACATTACTTTAGTATTTTCTGTTTATTTATTGTACCAGCAATGTGGTTGTTAATAGTACAAACACTAGGCTTGTGGCAACATCCCATCTGGTACTCTCGAGACTGTGCCAAGCACCTACTACCAATAGCAGCATCCCTTCCCCATGTCTTCCCAGAGTAATGGCCTCCATGGTGGGCCATGACAACCATGGTAGTTACAGGGAGAAGCCCCAAGTCAGCACAAGGTCTCAAGCCACCATATTTTTTATTTTCAAAATCACAGCTCCTTGAATGGCTCCCTGTCCTACCAAAGTCTGCTTTCTCTGATGCCTCATCAAAGATTACACAAGTAAAAAGGAGGCACAATTCTTTTGGAAAGTTAATTTTAGAGCAAACAGACTGTAACCAAACCATCTTCTATCTGTACTGCAGGGGAGAGTGAGTACAGTTGTTCCCATTATCTTGGGAAAGTCGTGTCCTACTATGTCAGTTACCTGTCATCAACTACAGTCTGGGAATACTACATGGAGAATTCCAGAAATGAATAATTCATAAAATTTAAATATTTTTATTACAGTGTATGTAGTATTTTCAAATCAGTTACTGTGGTTTACCTCCTAGTGTGCTGAATTGGCAAACTTCCTTCTGGATAGATATGCATGGAAAAAACAGTAATACACATTCTATTAACAGTGCCGATCTCTACCAACGGATATAGGGGTACTACCTAATCTAGGGTTAAAAGCCAAAGCTTGTACTGCAGTGAGCCACAGGAAAGAAAGACAGCTCAGCTAAAAGTAGTATTGACTAAGGAAGTGATGTCCATTCAAACTACCTCCTGTCCACCCTGGAAATTCCTCATTAAATCAATCTGCCTCTTAAGAACCAAACCCACCTACCATTTGTCCTAGCAATCTTCCTTCTAAGAAAGTAAGTAACTAAAGATGGATCTACACGCATAAAAATGTTTGCTGGGCAATTATTCTAGGAAGGAGAAAATGGAACAATATGGGCACAAATATGCATTTGTGGATGGCTACTGACTGATCATCAGAACTTTTTATTACAAATATCATACTGACATGGAAAAATCTGTACAGAGTTAAGTAGAAAGAGCAGCCTGCAAAATGTTGGATGCTAATGTGATTACACATCTTTCAAACATAAATAGAACGAGAGCAGACCATAACACATTGCAATGCCACCACTCAGTGAATCAGAGTGGCAGTATAATGGATTCTGTTTTTCTTTTATAAAAGTATATCTCTTTTATATAGTGACACAGTAACAAAGTCTAGGATTGCCAATTACAGTATCTCTATAGAGGTTGTTGTATACCTTGTGTTATGCGACAAAAAGATAGTCTTAGAGTTGATGACCCCCACATACCTCCAGGAAAGCCATGGCCACATCATCTTCTTGGAGGAGGTCCCCATACATTGCAGCCCACTGCAGAACTAAGCGGACGACCCGCCTCTTGTTGTTGAGGGCATAGTCCATTCTTTCCTGTTCTGTACCTTGAGAAGGCTGTGCATGGTAAGTGCCAAGGAGTCAAGGAAACCACAGAGCTACTTTCCACCCACTTGAGTATGCTACTTGCAATGCAGAGAATGACAGATCCCAGCTTCAGGCTGACACCATCTCCCTTGTTGGTCCTCAAGGAGACTTCCCATCATAGGGTCTGAAGCATACGCACACACTCTCTCTTGGGGCCCCCTGCTCACTTTTACCTGACTAAGGAGTAAGACCACACACCAAAAAGACTAATGTGTTGACAAGGATTCTTGTAGGGTCTAGCATCAGCTCTCATTGCCCCTGCCTGCCCTCTACCCTGCCCTTTACCTCTAAGGATAGTAATGTGATTTCCCATTACTTATATCTGGGTACCTTTATCCTGTTGGGCCCCATAATTCTAACCACATCTTTATGATCCCCTTCTTTATGTGAATTTCAATTTAACTCTTCCATCTGGGTTCCGTGTCCTGCCAGGACCATGTTTATATGAATAAGCAAGGTGGAAGTAGATAAACTCACTATGTATTAGGGAGTGATCCTTATACAATCCGTCCCTGGCGATGGTTCCAGACCCTCCTTATACCACATCTCTTTCTCTTACCTACCACATCCTACTTCAACTTGTACACACACAGCCGGCCATCTTAAGTACAAGCCCTAGGAGGTTTGGGCTGATATTGTTTGTCCTGTGTTCATACCATGCCTAGTGCCAGGACTTTCATCTCAAACTTTTATTTTTTCATAATGGAACTCAACACTTAAGTCTACCACATGACAAAAGGGTCACACTGTCATTGACCTTCCAGTGATGACATTCCAAGTATTTTAGATTAGACACACTTTTCTTTCTTTAATGGTTTATAGTATCTCATATCATAATCACCTAGTTCATAAAACAACTTAGTATTTATAGTTGGTGCTATATAAAAAGGACCCCAGTGAAGTTCTATGTTACCACCTGGTGACAATACTATTGTCTCCGTTCCAAAGGTGAGCAGACCAACACAAAAGGAACACAAAGGGCTATGATTACCTAGCGAGAGGGCACAGCTGGTTTTGAGTCTAAGACTCCTGACTCCAGATAGTTTTGTTCCTACTACAACACATTCCTGAGCGTCATAGCAAGGAACGAGACCACCCACGCCTTAGCTGATGGCCATGGCTTAAAAGGCACTGTGGAAAACTGCCTTGTGGTAGAGCCTTACTCCAGAGCTAAGTCGGAAAAGGCCCTTTGGAGAGAACTATAAATAATCATGACCAAGGTAAATGACAGAACCTTAAAGCAAAGGTTTACTGCATGTAAATGGGTTGCAAAATGGCTTTCATAAATTGAGCACGAGCTTCATAAAAAAGAAAATTGCTCAAGCTGTATTGCTACAATTCTCTCTGAGCTTACAATAAAAAGAGGGAAGACAGATCACTTTATGTGGAAATTATTTCTTTTCTGATTAACCCTTTGGTCTCTTGCATATATATATATATATATATATATATATATATATATATATATATAACACTGGTTGTAAAGTTTTGTGACCATCGCATACGACAGGCACCAGCACTATGGGGGTTGATTGAAACACAGGTGTGGGTTAGTTCAGCAGAGGCAAGGAGATTCTAGGCTCAAGTCCTTTGGTTCCCACTGTCTGCTGCTTTGATTTGGAGTGAGTCATTGGGAACTACCGACTTCTGTTGGCTCACCTGTGGTCTGAGGTGAGCTGAGACAACTTCCAGCTTCTCTTCAGATATATTTAACGACACCAATGTAAAGTTGATCCAAAGGGAATTAGGGGCCGCATACTAACAAAACAAAACTAAACTGCCTTCCCATGGTCTCTTTTGCTTAATTTTATAGTAACTTGTGTGTCGTGTGGTGCTCTAGTTTCGATATGCTATGGACCCGTTTAGGTTTTAATTCTTTAATACAACAATGCTAGGAGATTAATGCCTTTGTTGGGAGGCTATATTAGTTTTCAGGAACGGATTGGGTCTTTCTAGCATGGATCATTGTAGGGCATGTGGCCTCCTTTCTCCGCTCTCTCTTTTATATGCCCATTTGCCTTTCTGTGTAGAGCCTTCAGCGGACACTGAGCTGATGAGGCCACCTTGAACTTCCATCCTCCAGGACTATGAACTAATACATCTCGTTTCTTTGTAACTGACCCAGTGTCTGCTACTCTAGTGCAGTGACAAAATGAATTAAGACATATGGAAACTTGGTTTAGATCAGGCTTTGGAAAGTACTATTATACATTTTCATTTCTGGAGTCAGCGGGATAAAGTAAGAATGGTTAAGATGGAGGCAGGAGTGTGGGGTTTGGACACCCTTGGTAAGTATGCGGTAGTAAAATTATGAAATCCGAATAGAAGGTGTTTGAAAACCCCTTCTATGCCAGCTTACACTGAGCTCACTTTCTGTGCCAGCTAGCTTGACTCTAAGTTGTGCCCACAGTACATGTACTTCATTCTCCCCCTCAACCTGGGCTTCTCTCTATCCACTTTGCTAGAACTCAGTGGTAATGTCTATGAAAACATCTTTATGATGGCCCTATGCTATGAAGATGCACATATATTCTTGAACCTGTCATATCGCCTTTAAAAGATTATCACACTGTGCCCTAGCTAGCTATACAGACTAAAGTCTTTGAAAAGATTTCATTGTACATGAGGTATGATTTCAAATCATTTGAAGACAGTGACATCATACAAAGGAAATGGAAGCTTCTACTGAGTTCATGCACAGAACGGGGGCCCTGTGTTTAGGAAAATCTACTCAAGATGGACCGAGGAAAGTGTTGACTTGCTTTTTAAAGAGATTAGTTTGTTTTTATTTCATTTGTATGTGTTTTACGTGCATGACTGTGCATCATGTACTTGCAGCGCACACTGAGGCCAGAAGAGGGCATTGGATCCCCGCGAACTCAAGTTACAAATGCTTATGGGCCACCATATGGGTCTGTGAAACCAACTCAGTTACTCTGCAAGAGCAGCAAATGCTCTTAATCATTGAGCCACTCACCTCTCCAGCCCCTTGGTTTGGTTTTTAAGAGGTAAATTTATTTTTGAAATAAATTAATGGACCATTAAAGAAAACTCCAAATATTTTACAGATACATGGCAAAGAAATCACTCAAACTGAGTTACTCTTTAATAAAGATATTCCATCGAGTAAGACACGTGCTCAGTGGTAGGGATACAATGAACCTAGATCCTATCTCTTAGAATACTGCATTGGATGGATATGTTGAAATGAATGAGAAGGGAGACTTCTAGTTAAGACAATGAAACGGCCTGAAAGTCCAAGTTGGTACCAAGGGTATCTAATTCTAATTATTCAGGTTATCGTTACTAAGACTGAGGAAGCAGGGCAAATGCTCACGTGATGGTTGGTCAGAAGCAGCAATACGCCTGTGGCTAAACTTCAGGGTCTATACTACCCCTGTGGGTCAGCACAAAGGTTTTTCTTGGCCTCCGTTGATACTGAAATCTAGTTTTATTTTTTGTTTTGTGTGCAACAAATGGCAGAATACAGAGCCAAGCAAATTACTATGATAATGTTTCAAGTGTATGTGGAAGTTTACATTTACAGAACATCTTCAGTATGCTCACATAGCATACATATACAATGTTCCCTATAAATCTAGGGGGGAATAGTTAAAGATGAATAAAGCCTACAGTTCTGAAGGAGGAGATATGTTGGCCAAATGCCTTAGAAGGAAGGGCTTACAAATCCAGACGGTTCTTTCACGGCCCACTGTCCCACACAGTGGCCACAGGACCTCTATATTAATTCTTGTTTAAGTTAGTAAAAATAATTTCATTTGGGAAGAGAAATTGGTTTTTAATTTTTTGACTTCATGGTTTGCTTTCTTCTTTTTTTTTTTCTTATTTTTATTTTATGTGCATTGGTGTTTTGCCTGCATGTGTGTCTGTGTGAGGGTATCAGGGCTCTTGGAACTGGAGTTAAAGACAGTTTTGAGGTGTTATGTGGGTGCTAGGAACTGAACCCAAGTCCTTTGGAAGAAAAACCTGTGCTCTTAATCTCTCCAGCTCCAAGAGAGGCCTCCTGTCATCACCATCGTCTTCGTCCTCCTCCTCCTCTTCGCCCTTCCTTTTTCTTCTTCTCTCAGCTCTCAATTGGAATTTCCTAGAGTCGCCTCTAGCATGAGATAACCCAACAGATAGGACTATGCAAAACCAGGGGAGAAAATAGGGAGGAATCCTCCTTCTCTCATGAAAACTAAGGCTATTCCCCACCATAGGAAAACAACTGACTTATTTCATAGTCTGGCTTTTCCTCTCACAGATGTTTATATTCACTAAACCCAGTTAGGTTAATATCGTTTTTTATAGTTAAGTCTCTCTTCCTGTGCTCAAAGCTTCTGCCCCTTCACAGACAATACCCTGAATGTCTGTGAATTCATGCATGCGCGCGTGCGTGTGTGTGTGTGTGTGTGTGTGTGTGTGTGTGTGTGTGTGTGTGTGTGTATTCACACACATGTACATATCCATGTAAAGGACAGATGTTGGTGGTAGATACCTTCCTTGGTGACTCCCCCATCTTATTTATTTATTTCCCTTGAGACAGGGTCTTTACCTGAACATGGTACTCAACAAATGGCTAGACTGTCTAGCCAGCAAGCACCACAGATCTGCCTATTCCCCACCCTGCCTCTGTTGCTAGGTTACAGATTATCCCTGTTTTTATGTGGGTTCTGGGGATCTGAACTTAGCCCTCTTGGGCATATAGTAGGCACTTTGTTAGTGCAGCCATCTCCTCGGGCCCTGGAATCAGTTTTTTTTTTTTTTTTTTTTTTTTTTTTTTTTTTTTTAAGGGACACAGAGAAGACTTCATAGGTAATTAACTATCTAAGATGGCTGCAGGGAGTGTTTTTTGTTCACTCCCACAAGAATCTACTCCAAATTTGAGAAGTGTTGGAACTCTTTAAGTAAGAAAATGTATAATTCAAATGGGCAAACTCATCACTTATACACAGCTGATTTCAGATGGGGCAGGAATCGTGG